CATTGTTGTGATAATACATTACTTTTCCATTAGACTTTTGTTTTACTATTATTGATGATGACGTTAAGGCAGAACAAGATTGTATTTGCCAGGACTGTGTTTCTTGTCATGCCTCAACTCAGTCTTTGAATTTCTTTGGAGAATTTTATATGTGAAGCCAGCTAGGAGTCTCATCCAGATCTTCTCTGTATCAGCTTGAGGTCTAAATAATTCATGGAAAGTCAGAGTTCAAAACACATCTGCATTCACTTGGCTGGTTGTCTGTATGAGAATCACCACCTTCCTTCTAAGAAAGATCATGCAGAAATCAGAGCTGGAAAACAGACATGGCACTATAATGCAGCTCACAGCACAAAAAATCCTGTGCTGATTTTCAGGAAGGTTATGTGTTGAGGAGAAAAAGTTATCCCCAATCTTCTCTTTCACATGGTTATTTATCATCTGTTCAGTGCTGTGGAATGCCTTACTCTGCTTCTCCACTCGTGAGCCCCTGCTCTCTGGCACTTCCCTCTCTCGAGCTGAACACTAGTTTTCTCATTTTTACAATTTGACTCTATCTACAACATCTGGATTTTGTGGCTGTGTCTACAAACTGCTTGGCAACAAGGGTTTGCAGCTGGACAGAAAACTGCCTAAGCTGAAATCATCTCTGCAAGACAGCCTACTATAAGAAGGTTCTGTGAGACGGGCTCCCCAGCCCAAATCTATGCTTGTATAACCTGGAGCAATGCTTCCATAATATACATGAGCCACAGAAAATTGTCACACAATGCTCTTTTCTTCTCAAGGGACGCCTATCAGCTCAACTTTTGCTGTGGTCAGTCACCATTTCCATCATAAAGTTCCACTTTGTTGCATTTAGAAAATATGGCAATAAAAGATCATGCCAAGACTAAACTTGGCATACAAGTTTTGTCCAGAAGTAACCTCAACTAATCTTTGTCAGCTAGCAAGTGAAGTGACTTAATCATTTTTAAATCACTTGAAAATGAAAGCTGTAGAGGCTCTGGTTCTCATAATTTTCTTGCAGTCACTGCTCTGCACTTTCAGTACCCCTTAACTGTTCAGCTGGAACAGTCTGCACGGATTCCTGGGGAGCCCAACTGTCCTGAGGGGCCTTTGTGCCATGGGTGGCATGACATACCCTGCTCCCTGCCTCGCCCAAGCAGAGAGGGGGAGGCTGAAGGGAGATGTTATAGCTAATTTCTATGTGCTGTGCTGCCTGCAGCCCAGGATTGAAGAGAACAAACCTGGGTGTTTCCCATTTGCACCACTGCAGATACTGGGTGCAGGAAAAGGGATCTTACAGCTCTGACAAGCACATCTCGGACACATCATGGAACCACTGGGAGTATTTCCAGGCAACCATACAGAGATGTCTGTATTCATCACTCTATTCTTTCATGAACTACTTATGGAGAATTAGATTTGTGAAATCAGTCTTGCAAAGTGTTCTGGAATAGGAGCAGTTTTTTTATTTTAACAGGACAGTCTACTACAATACTAGCTCAGTCATTTTTTTGAAAGCTAATGTAGCTGAGGAATTCTTCAAAAGTGGTTTTTCTCTGCACTTAAATCTAAGTTCTGTCTGTTCCCTGTGCCATTAGAGATTTGCTGTCTGCAAGTGAGTCTGTCACTTGCACTGGAACTGAGCCTGTACCTGAACCCAACATCTGGCAAGTTCCACCAATGCACCCTAAGCACAAGAGGTCTTTGCTAATGCATCCTCCCCTGGGATCTGATCTTCATCCATATTTAAAGTGATTTATTTTGACATCTGCAGATTTTCAAGAACAAAGAGGGAAAATGAATTATCACTCTGAATATCTGCCCCATTCTGATTAATGATGACGCACATGGAGACTTCTTGGGAGCTCAATTTCTTGCCATCATCACAGCTCAGCTGCTCTTTTCTAGATCATTTCTAACTGTTCATACATTTCACAGTTCAGCTTTCCTATTGCTACAATGTGTTAGCAATTAATGCACAACAAACAAGCAGACAATTGTTCCATTTCCAGGGAATAAAATCTCCAAGGACCCAAAATTAAATAGAAACTATCCATCCTTCCCCATATCCTAAGATTTCAAGGAAGAGCAAGCAATTAACTCCCCAAACACACCACGTGGCTGAGGCCATGGTTAACAAGCACTTCAATTTGACATAAAATTTACAGCTCCTGAAGTCCTGTCTCCTCCTAACCATTCACTTCCTGCTTCTCCTTAGTGTTAGCACTCAGAAGAGTCTGAGAAACCCCATGATAAGGTGGGCCAAAGAGTTGTCTCTACCAAAACTAAGGGGTTTTAGTTTAGTTTAGCTTTCAGCAGGTCAACCCCTTGATGTGACTCATGTAGTACCACAGAAATGCCAGAGGAGGAGAGGGTGAAATGAGGTGAAGATTGCATAAGCTGTGTGACTGCCAAAGAAATGCTCATGTGAGCACAGCCCCAGTCTCAGCCTTATTCCTGGGGGCAGAAATGTGAGCGTGAGCCTGTTCTCTGTCCCTCCCCATTGCAGTGGCAGCCTCCCAAGTTCTCAGGGTCTGAGAGCAGCATCTCTGGGTAGCAGGACTGCAAAGAGGTGCTGGGAAAATCCCAGCAATACTGCACTAATGATCAGCGTTTGTAACAAGGTAACTACAACCAAAGGACACTGCTCGGATCTGCTGCAGGGCAAGTGAAATTTCTCCTTAGTCAAAATGCTGTCACTGCTTTCCCAGCTCAAGGGCTGAAGTGGGAGGTTATAGCATTGAGAAAGCAGACCCTGAGAAAATGAGGAAGAGAGCAAAATTAAAAATCATAACATACTGTTACACTTTCACTTGAAAATCTCCCCTAAGTAGATTCTGTGCCCAACAACCAGACGTCACTAAAAGATGAGGATGCTCCTACTGCCTGAAGTGAACTTCACTTCAGGAGCAAAAAATGATTCAGATGCAGCTGCCTGGCTTATGGTTTCCATCACTTTCAAGCTCTACACTGCCCTTTGTTTTGCAGGAAACATGCCTTTGGAAAGCCAAGGAAAACTTGGTTTAATAAACACCAAATTAGAGGAAATGCATTTGCCTTCTTGACATCTTTTAAAATGTCACTAAGACACATAATTTCGGATCCTGCAAGATTTCATTCAGTACTTGTTACAAAGCTGCAGCTCTCAATATGGTCTGTGTTATAGCAAGGCAAGTGTAACTGGCTGAATGGACTCTAGAATCACCTTTCTCCTACAAAGGTATCTCAAAGGAACAAGAGTGATGGTGCTGAAGTCCTGCTGCCTGCTGCTTATAAACAAATTGAGGCTGGACTGACAGTCCTTATAGAAGGCTGCTTCTCTTGTTTAATGGTACCTTGTGGAGTCAAGGAAATACAAGTTTAAAATAGTAAATCTAGAACGTTCTGGTTATCTATATGTTCCACAAACTGACAAAACTACTTCACCAGCCACACCTTTAAAACAAAATTAATCAAAAAGCTGACCAGGCAACCCTGCTTTCTGTTGCAGTGTGCTTCAGCTTTCCTCATGCTGGAAAATGTTCAGCTGACCATGTACACCAGATTTACAGGCCTTCTGTGTCAATCTGACAACTCCAAAAGATTCAGGCAGGGAAAAGATTTAGCTCTATAAATACTATTGAACTTCTCTTTCCATTGGCTCCAGATCAATTCAGTGCAGAAGAAAAGCCCATAGCTAAGGCTGGAAAAAACACAGAGTTGGGTTTTCAGAAATGCTCTGCTTTCGTCTAGTCCAGCTCTAGTTTGAGCAGGTTAAATCCCATAACTGAACACTTTTGGAAGTCAAAACATGACTGTCCACTGAGGCTCTGGAGTAATTGCTTCTTGGACAAGATGGTATGTATGTTAAAATGTATTACAGGTGACATAATAAAAACAGAGGTTGTCTCCTTTGCAAGTCTCGTGGTATAAAACTCAGCTGTTTTGCCCTGCACAGGCTCCCCTAACTGTTCACTTGGTTTCTATCCATCTGGATTTTCACACAGCATTTTGCTTTGAGTTTCCAATTTGAATACGTGAAAGCTCTGCCAAAACCACATCACATTCAAACCACAGGAAATCATGAATTTGGCACTGTTTTGACATGGAAGCTGTAAACAGTGTGCAGGTTCACTTAAAACGGGATCACTGTCCTCTGAGTTATGAAACACAACAAAACTTCCAGCAAAGCAGGTCAGAAATCTTAACTACTAAAGCAAAGAAAAAATATGTCACTTTTGCAAGGATCAGGGGTTTTTTTAATATTTTCCTCCAAATTTTTTCCTTCAGGTATAAACATACTATGTGAAGAATAAAAAGAGAAGTTTCCTCCTTTCCAAGTTTGAGTTACAACTGGATTTAGCTAATTCTCACAGCTCTAACACACACATATCCTATTAAAGACAAGGTAGTTTCCTATTGGCAGCTTTGAGCATGAATAATTGTAAAAGACAGAGTTGTAGAGGAGATATTAATATGTTTAATTTTACGTGTAACATGAGAGGTAATCAACTTAAAGGTAACTTACACTACTGCACAGGAGCCTCATAATTAAAATCCAGTATATTTTCAGTTGCCAAATACTGGATTTTTTCCCTTCAAGATTCCAATTAGCAAACCACAAGAACTTGTATGAAAACAAAGTCTAAAAAATTTTTTACTTCAAATTAAACACCGTCCTAAAGAAACACATACTTGTAAAGAAGTCACAAGTTCATTGAGGATGAAATGAAAACAATCTAGATTTCCAGACCAAGCCTGAGAACAATCCAGATTCCAAACCAGAGTTTGATTGCAGAGCTACATGAAGGTGGTTTGACTGAAGTCAAATGAATAGGAAGCAAAATTCAGTCATTCAAAACGAGATTTATATTACTGTACTGCCTGCAAGAAAACAGTTTAATCTTGCTGAGTTTCACTTTAACCAGATTTTTACACTAGGCATTCTGAATGCCAGGAAAAGCTCTCCAGGGATCCTAAACACACAGAGCCATACATCAGGCATATCTGACCTGTCATAGAGTTTTCAGATGTACACAGTTGCTCTCGCAGCTTTTCCACGTCGTCTGGATGAACCTGTTCATACAAAGTGCTGCCAAACCATTCCGACTGAGGCTGGTTTAGCACAGGAGTCACCGAGTCTGATACATAGATCACTCTTCCCGTCTCAGCTGCAACTACAAACAGGAACCCATCTGCAGCCTCCAGGATAAGGTGTTTCAGTTCCTTCCAAAGAAAAGATTTTATTAGAATGCCAGCAAGGAAAGGGAATTAAATATAATGTCTGTATCTGTCAGAGAATATTGTTTTCTTGTGATCTTAGTAACTGATCAAAACCTAGATAGAAATTTTCACTGATCTAACAATACAACCAAACTTGCAGCAAGGCATAAATTGCCATCTCAATAACAACATTTTCTTTTCTGTTGTTGCCTTTCATCTGGTGATCTCCATGCACTTTAGGAAAATAAACAACTAATACTCACTGCATATTCTGTGATAGGCATCTAACATTAAAAAATAAAAATATATTTCCAAGTACAAACAGAGGAAATGAACAGGTCTAAATCATGGCAAACCCATCTCTTAATTAAACGCTCTGAATAATTTAACTGGAAAGAAACCAATAAGACTTTATAGTTTGGTTCCCCCTGGCCCTGCTCAGGATGAGCTCTGTTTGTGAATTAAACAGTCACTGGATAGAAGGCAGAAAGTGTAATGGGAAGGAGGAAAGAATCCCCAGCCTCTTCTTTCATTAGGGGCCCTGAGCCCCTACACAAGAAGGTTCTATTGCTTTTTGCTTTTCAGCCTGTGAGTATGAAGGCTCAGCATCATCCAGAAATAATTCCTTTCCTTAACAGAGCTTGAAAACCTCTCATGGCAAATGATGACAACTACCATCCCAATTCCTGGAAAAGAAGCCTGAACAGCCTTTGGTGGCTCCAGTGACCACCAGAGCTTGTTAAGATACTGCATCTGGAACTCAAACACAGAGCTCTGGAAAACCTAAGTCCCATTCCAGGTGAGACAGCTCAGCAGGGTTAGTGTGCAAGTGGTAGATATCAGCTGATAAGGTAAGGATAAAAATCTGGTGAACTACTAAGAAATGGATAACTCACCTGAAGAAACATTCAGACTGTCAACTTCTGCTGCTTTCTTATAGAGAAAGCACATTGATTCTGAACTACTGACTAAACAAAAAACTCATAGCACAGCTGCTACACTATACTGAGGATAATATAACCAGTTTTGCACATTATTAAAAAAAAGATGAAAACAAACTCTGTAATTCTGCAGGATTTAAAAAAAAATTGCAATGAGAAGTGACTAGGGTGTGCCACAAGTAGAATGGCACAGTCCCTCCAGAAACACACTCCAGGAGAGCTGGAATAGGCAGTCGTGAGCAGTGAGGGGTCAGCAGCAGCTGCTGTTTATCTAAGAGAAAGAAGTATTGCCTCCAGCCATAACTTCCATGTGTAAGTGCTTAAATCACTTCAGACCACAAAAATGAACATTACACCCATAGGACTTCAAAAACAATGGAGGTGGTAGGAATTTTCAGTGTGCTCAGTAAACACAGTTTTCCTTCAAGCACTGGGTGCATCTTTCTTTGTCCATCAAAAATGTAACCAAGGAAGCACCTGAGCCAGTACAGATGGGATTCATCTCTGCCCAGTTCAGCTGCTGGCAACTCCAGCATTAAGACTAAATGATGTTTTTAACCTTCCTCTAATCTCCAGAGAGAGAGGCAGGTCTTTCCAGACTCATTTTTACTTCTTTTAGAGAATCTTTGTTAGGATGGGAAGAACCCCGGTCTGGAGGTGAAAATTCCTTTTTGCAAGGCAGTGAGCAACTTGTTTTTCAGGTGGACAGATCTCAATGGTAAGAATGCCAATTTGCTTCTCCAAAAAGAAGATCTGTCACAGTGTTAAGATCAAGTCCAGTCACAAAAAACCTGTTTGTATTCACACCTTGGATATGTAACTGGTACCAGCTGCTACACTACAGTGAAAGATCAAGCTGAGGCTCTATTCCTCTCAGCACTTCCTCACACCTTTTAAGACCAAAAAACCATGGAAAACCAACAAATTTTGTAAATTCTACCTGTTCTGTAAGAAAGGAAGGCTTGTAAGCTCCATCAGTAGATTTGTTCCCAGTGCCCCTCATGGATTTCATGTGGGAAACAGCCATGCGGAGAATGGTGAGCTTGTCAGGCTTGCGAGCCAGGGCGCTGCACGTGGGCACCATGTCGGAGAGCTCGGTGATGTACTGCGTCATCTTATTCCTCCTGCGCCTCTCGATCTCACTGTGATTCTCCCTGAGCATTCAGAGAAACACCAAAGCAACACAAAGACACGTGAGCAGTGTCAGAATCTGAATATGAGGTCATATACTTCGCACTTGTTTTGCCGTCTGCACCCCAGGAGAGCAATGCGCTTTACAAAGCCAACCACTGTTATCCCTCAGTTTACAGAGGGAAAATCCAAGCCACAGACAGATAAATATGATTTGCCCATAGCTGTGGAAAGAATCTGCATTTCTACCCATTGGTTTTTGGCCTTAATCTCTTAACCAGTTTAATCTCCTTTGGTTTAAGGACAAAAATGAAGTAGAAATATGTGAGGAGCTGACGTCTGCCAACTCCAGTCAAACTCCCAGATTTGCTGTGATGCATCTCTGAGCTGCTTATAAAAGGTGCCCTTTGGAGGAAACCTCTCACTAGCAACTGGATCAGGTTAGCAGGAAATGTCAGCACTGACTTATGAAAAAACCCAGTCAGTGACAACAAAGATCCCAAACAAAGCTGTTTGGAACCTCCCACATCCCTGCAGGGAATCACTACATGCCTGCAGGATCAGACTGCAGCACCAGGACCATATATGGGATAACAGTACATATAAAAAAAAAAATCCCAATAAAGAAATAAAATAATCCCCTCAAGAACCCCAATAAAAAATCCCAAAAACCTCTCAAGGACCCCAAGAAAGACAGCAAGTAAACATCTGGCTTGTCAGACATAGACTGGAATTTATGTTCAGGGACAATTATTTAGCACAGCAGGGAAGCAACAATGACAGTACTTGATGCTGCCCCAAGTTGGGCTAGGCTGCAATGTTCTCATCCTTCAGAGGAATCATATGGCTGAGGTGGTGAGTCAAATTTGAGAAATCCCAAAATGGACACCCACCAGAATCTTTCAGAAACAAACATCTCAGAATTCAGTTTTTCCATTCTGGAAATCACCATTGCTTCATCAGCTTTAAGGAATCACACCAATATATACATCTGAAATGGTCCAAATGGACCTAGAATGCTTCAGTGCCCAGCACTTATTCTTCTCATACTGTACCTGTCAGGTGGCAGCTAAATACAAGTACACGACAGGGAGATGATGCTTCAGTTGTCAAAGCAGCATCTTCCACTGATTTCAATGAGCTGTGCATGGCATTGTCTTGTGGGATCGCTGGTTGATCCAACAAGATGTGAGAGGTGATCACTTGGAGACTCCACCAGCATTGACTGATGTGATAACACAACATTAAAAGAAACTGCAACATTCTTTGGAGCTGAGTGCTATGAAGACTGAGCATGAAAGCAGAAGCTAGGCTTGGTACACTTTCTGGATACTTTTAGAAATTAGACCTTTTCTTAAAATGGAGGAAAGAATTGTATGCTGCTTCCTGAAATAGAGGAATGCAAGGGCTTGTCCTGCTTTGGGTATCCTGCCCCTGCACATATAGGTGTTACATGCTTGAGGCAGTCTGCAGAAACACCACTTGTTAGGGCTACATGCAGAGTTATTATTCCTATGCTTACTGTGTGATATGCAGAAAATCCAGCTATGACAGCCCATGGCTGCTCAGTAAATTACAGCCAAGCCTTGCCTGAGGTCATTGTCCAGTAATAATAGTGCACCTTTGATTTCAGCTGCTCCTCAGCCAGAGGAACACAGGGTCTGCACAGATGTAGGAGGGAACAGGGGGAGTTGATCATACACACACCAAGCAGAACAGCTGGTGTGACAGTGCACATGTACACAGAGCACACGTGTGTACATGCCAGCTGGTACATGCAGAGAAATATGGACACGGGGAAGATAAAAGCATTTTTACATGATGAAAGCTTGCTCTAAGTTCAGCATTTTCACAGAAGCGGTGGTTAAGGAAAAAAAGAGAGAGAGACAAAGAACAGACATATTCAAGATACATTTCACACTTACAAGTACATAATACATTGTCTACCACTCAAATATTTTAGTACTTCTGGACATTGAAAACAACCATTTATAGAGACTAAACAAAGAGACTGTAAAACTCCCTGAGAGAAAAAGAGTATCCCAACAGTCCATTTCATTTATGATCTTAAAAGCTAGAAAGTAACAGCACGTTAATCTACTAGCTGTGGAAATGTTCAAGCAGACAATAGCCCAAAAGTTTCCCGAAATGAGTTCAAGTTTAAATCCTTAAAAGAAAAAGAGGGGCTATGCTCCTCTCCCAAAGTGTGTGTCCTAGGAACTCTGGCCTTCACAAACTTATACAGAATGATGTCCTAATTCTGTCATTTCTAACTTTGTTTTTATACAGAAATTACAAATGCCATTAAATTTTGGGATATGGGGGAGCTGATCCAAAACCACGAAGGGTTTGTATTTCTGACTTCAAGCAGTTTTGGAATAGCCAAAAGATCAGTATGAACTGCATTATATAAAAGAAAAATGGGGGCAAACCATATTTGACTTCCCTTTTTCCTACCTTTCCCTTCTGTGTCAGCAGTACTTTGATCACTTAAAGCAAAGTAACCATCACCCTAAGCTAGGGCACACGTACTGAGGCTTTTTGGACACGAACATCCCCCTCTTTTCTCTCAGCAGAAGAGCTCTACAGGACACGCCTACCTTGCATACTTTTCCTTATCACCCGTGATTTGATCACCATCATACCTAGAAACAAAAGACAGTACATCAATCAACAGGGGTTATGCATTGCATGATAGCCAACACACAGCAGAAAGCAAAAAAATTCACGACTGCAAACCATTACAAATACCAGCAAGAAAAACAAGGGAATGAGAATGATACAGCAAAGAAAACACAGAGTCTGCTGATACTTCCAAGCCATGCCGATTCAGAAACTTCATTTGTATATTTAAAAAAACAGAAGACACATTTCAGTGGATTTAAGCAAACACTGACATACACCGATTTCTTGGGAAACTTAACAAGCAGCACCAGGTACAGAAAACACCAGTGAGCTTTTATCCACAGCAGCCCATGAAATATTCATTGCTGTGCTGGAAGTGAACAGGCTGTGTCTGTTCCAGCTTGCAAACACAGCTCCCTCCATTCAGCAGAGGGCACTGATGGTCTATAGATAACACGGGAGGGCAGAGACACGGCTGAAGGGCGATGCCTTATGTAAGGGAACCTCCAGGAAAAAGTTCTGCAGGTACAGACACTGTACTGACTGTCGTGGAGGCTGGCAAAAGGCAGGCAGGCAGGCAGGTGAAATTGCTGGGTAAATAGAAGTGAAATTTAAACTGGCTTGATTCCCTAGAAGTAAACAGGTACCTCATTCCTACTCAAATCAACAGAAGATGGGGGCCCAGCCAGCTATGTGTGGTGTTTGAGCAGCATCTTTATGGAGGAAATCCAGACTAGTGGGAATTTTGTCCTGTGGGACTAAAGCTTCACGTTTCTGAAGCATTAGCCCAAAGACAGGCAGCAATGTGACATTTCAGTAAAAAATTACATGCTGCTCCTCCTTCTCTTTCCTAAGAAATGCACCAATCATTTGAAATTGGATTTTGCTAGCACAAGTTAAGACTCATTTGCTTGAAACCAAACTGCTAGCTCCAAAACACAACATGTTTTGGAAAACACAAAAATAAGGTAATGGCTTTTCTAGAAGTAAAGATCATAACTGCCCAAGAACAGTTAAATGAGATTTGGTATATTACACCTTTCCAAAATGATGTCATTTATTACAACAGACAGCCTATGAAGGTCCCATGTATTAGCTAAAAAAGTAATACAGCCTAAATAAGCATGTTTTCCTCTTCTAATAAATCAATAATGAACTTTTTCTTTTTTTTCTGTCTGAAATTAATTAAAACTAATTTTAAGTAATCCACCTATACAAGTTCCTCATTCAAACAGTGAAGACAAAGCTTAAGCAAGTCTCGAGCTGTATTTCTTTATGTTGTGTTCAACACCAGCACCCTCAAAACATTCAAGTGACAACGCCACTTTATCCCCCTTGACTCTGCCCGGAGAACAGACTGAGTTTGAGTAATTTTCAGCAAAAAGACCAATTCAATGAGGAATGGGCACATGACAGGGAAGCACATGCACAGGCTGTGTGTGAGGATGAGGTGCCATGCAGGGATACCTGAGCTGAGCTGGAAGCCCTGAGGAGCAGAGTGTGTTACCTCCCATGGAGCACTGAGCTAACACCACTACTCCCACGAGCCTGGGGCTTGTCTACTCATCCTTCTCTGCTTCACTGGGCTGAAGATGCTATTGCCTCCAACTACTGCTTCCCTTCCAGCCTCCCAGCACCTCTGCACACATGCTCCTTCAGGCACTTCTGTCAAAGCCAGCTGGGTTAGCTTCAACATTTAAACAGCAGCTCTTTGGTAAATACATAATTTTGAAGGAAACAAGCTAGGAATAAATCATGTGAGCAATCTTGAGAAGGGAACAACTAGAAGACGATTTCTGAATGTAGCCCCTGGTGTCTGTGCATGTGTTTTGTGTATTCTCTAAAAACAGAACAATCTGGAGTCTATACAGCATTTAAGACTTAAATATCAGACTTTGATCTGACACCTAAAATGAACTAAGTGTAAGCACAGCACAGCACACCTCTCCATTAAAAGCAATGGAATTATTAGCCCAACCCACCACGAAACTTTGAAAGGCCATAACCAGAATGGGGAAGGACCAAACACACATATCAGTGTGCCCAGAAACCCTGATGCTTGTGCAGGCACAAATCACATCCCATTCCTCACAAATCTTGTTCCCTTAACGTGTATCTTCCAGCAAATATTAGGACTAAGCCCTCAAATCACCAGTTTTAACACCAGGGGCTGGTTCTGTAAATGACATCAACCAAACAGGAGTGCTGCTGGTCTTGTCCAGTAAATGATGCTACAGAGTCACAGTGCATCTTCAGCACACTTCTCTTTCACACTGACTGCAATAACCCTGTTAAACCCTACAGTGACAGCTGTGTTTCAACGTGGCTGCTTCTACAGAGCTGCAATTACAGTTTGGATAATCAGCAGTTACCCACAGGCCTCAAAGTATCTACACCCCTCACTGCAGCTGCTTGGTTTCTAATGAAAAAATGCAAACAGTGTGACCAGAAAAAAAAAAAAAGGAAAAGTGAAAAAATGGCAATGAAGATTTACTGTTTATTTCTAGCTTTGAATGTTCCATGTTAATTAACATTTTTTCTGTCAATTTTTACTATTCAGTTACACCTAATGGTACATAATGTAAACCTCATTAACTTTAAAAAAAACAATCCACCTCTAGGATCTGTCAAATTGTCTTAACAGGCAATTAACATCTGAAATAAATCAGAAATGAAATTTCGTTTTCAGTGGCTGAAAGACAACTTCAGCAATGTCAAATATTCATCTACAACAGTTGAAATAATAAGCTAAAAATCACAAGCTTTTTCATTTAATATAGCTGCAGAGTGAAATTGTGAACATATACTGTCAGCTTTATAAGCCAATAACTACATTAGGCAGATTTCAGCCAGAATGCCTGATTTTCAGAGGAAGCTGATAAAAATTGTAAGTAGTACTTGGGTCAAGTTGTTGGCAAGTTCTTCACCCATATTTATATTGATTTTTAAACATCAGTAATGAGACAGCCGTCTTTCCCCACTGAAAAAATCAGTGATGTGGCCAACTCTTCAGTAAATGCTCACCTTGAAAATTTGCTGGGCCCCTCCCCATCTTCATCATCAAAGTCCATTCTGTAAAAGCAAGATTTCCAAGTCAGCAATCAAGGCATTGGCAATGGTGGCATGAACATTCAAGGCAGCTGTTCTCAGTGCTGTTAGATTTGTATTTTGCCTCCAGGTGTTAAGGACTGAGGATTCCAGTCTTGCTCATCCTCTCCAGAGCCAGGAGCAGATAATCAGCTCATTTATGTCCCACACCTTCTTAATCCTGTGGAAGAGTCCAGCTCTTCCTTAGGCCAAATCCCAGCCTGCCACTTTGGCTTCTCTAGGGAACCAAAATAAGCAGGAACCTCTTTCTTCACTTCTTACACAGACAGGCTAGGAAGATGATCTTCCTAATCTAGACATCTAAATTAGATTCCTAGATTAGGCAATGTGATTTTATCATAGATATTACCACTACAAAGTTATACAATAATATAATTTACAAAGCATTTTAGACATTTTTATACCTCTAAAAAGAGGTGGATAAATATTTATATCCTCAATTATAACTGCCATTAAAGTACACAATCAAGCTGATATAAAACTATAATATACAATTGTTGTATTAGTGTATTTATTTTAATGAAAAAATACATTAATATGATATACAGACCTTGATCAATCACTTTTAATTTGTGTAGATAGGGAATTATAGTTTTGTTTTGCAAACATTTTCTCAGATTTCTTCAACATTCTAAGCTTACTTAGAATGCTTAGCATACTTAACCTTTCAGTGGAGTAAAAGTTCATACAACTACAGATTCTACTAACACTGTTAATATTAATAGGTATAAGTCCTACTAAAGGAATAAAACCCTTCAAAGTGACAATTATATTTATCTCAGTATTAAGAGGATTCCTTCAAATGACAAATTGAGATTTGTATGTCCAGAGTGTGGGAAAAAGGATGCAAAAACAGTCTCTGAAACTACATCAGCATAGAGAAGTAGAAGTGTCAGTCACGCACTGCCTTCCTTCTTAAATTCTGACAACCAAGACAGACTGGCCCGTGTGTCCGAGTCACAGCAACCCCTGTACAACTGGAATGAGGGCAGCAAGTCAGCACAGGAATTGGACATGGCATTAGAAAAGTTACAATAATATTTTCCAGATGGCAACAGTGATTATTCATTTGTGGAGGAAGCAAAGAGAAAACCATTTTCCCCAAAGAGCTTTAAGAAAAGCTGCGTATTTAACCTGCTTAACTTTGATGCAATTGTCATTTTCACAATAAATTACATCTTTGCTCACCTAATTGCCACCAAATCTGGTTCCAAGGGCCGTGACCCCTCAGCTGCCTCATGCAGAACACCACTGACCCCAGTGGCCAGTGCCCTGACCTCTGCCACAAGGCAGGACCCAGCTGCTGCTGGCACCCCAAATGTGGCCTTCAGGACTGGCACCAGCAGCCTGAATCCCCCTTGACCTGCAGCACTCCCAGAAATTTAACATTTACACACCTTGGTACAGCCCAGGGTCTCCTCTCACCTACCTGCTTCCTCCCCACATGTAACAATGTGCCTGCAGGTGACATTGCAGAAAAACCTTCCCAGTTATTTGAACTGGAATGTTCCTGCCTGCACTGAAAATGCCAAAGTGAAAGTTACAGGAGAAATGTTTGTTTACAAGTGTAGGGCAGCACTGGGATGGCTCTACCTGAAGCCACTCACAGAAGCATCACATCAGGCACACCCTTACTTGGTTTCACTGGCAGCTGAAACACATCTGAGAGAAGCAGCCAGTTTCAAACTGGGGGAAAAGGGCTGCAGGAAAATATTATACACTTGTAGGGGAAATTTTCTTTTTCTTCAGGGATTTTATGAGACACTGCTATGATCTGGGACACATTAATTTTGTAACTCATTTCCTTCCTCTCTGGTACACTGAGATCACATGCCTTGGTGGATATGATTCTATGATTTATTTAGCTTCCAGCCAAATACTCCAGCTGAGTGCTAAGGGACGAGTTTTCCCAAAAATCAAATATTAGCAAATTACTGAATTTAATCTAGTTTATTATTACTGGAATACAATGCAAAGATTAGAGATGATGATAATAATTTAAGACTTGATCCTGCTGCCTGCACTGTATCACCACCTCTGAGGGAGTAAGGGGGACTAACACAACTATTTATTTAAATGGTTGGATCTCAGCTTCTTACTTTAGGAGGTTCTTGATGGGTTAATATGCAAAGGTAACACCTCTCACATTTACAGTGGGCTCATCACAGCAGAATCTGAATGCACAGGGTATAACATCAATCTGCACTAGACTAAGTATTTTTTATAATAATAAATAAAATAATAATAAAATAATATAAAATAATATAAAATAATGCCTTTGCTTTGTTAAACTACCCAAACCCCTTTATTTCATACAGAAATTGAACATAAATCTCATTTAAAGTATCAATACCCTTAAAAATGCAACAGCAAATGTATCTCTGTTCCATCTTTGTTAATAACACATTTTCTAATTTCACTGTACAAAATGAAAAAACCCTTTGAAACATTCAAAAAAACTCCTCAGGTATAAAGTCATTGATTCTGGTGTCCTGCCTGATCCACTGTGTCTGCTTTACAGCAAGGCAGAGGGAATGGCAGTGAATCAGTTGTAACCTTTAGTAGAACACAGCAGAACACATAAAAATAATATTCCATCAACCTCCTCATACCCTGACAGATAAGATCTTCTGTTTAGATAGAATATACTGCACATTAGCAAAACAGTAGAAGCAGCCTCCCAGAAGACAAATGACATCATTTCAGAAGATTCAGAAAGACTATCTTTTATCTTCATTTAAAATTCCCATTAAAAAGAGGCTTTAAAAAAGAGCTGCACTATGCTCTTTTGTTTTGAAGAGACAGCATAAATCCTGTTTTCCTCTTTCATACTGTTCACATCAATCGTGAAAAGGCCTGATGCATGAGGTACTTATTAAAATGTATTTTCCTTAGAAGATGTGAGGCTACCATAAATATAGTGATAAAAACACTTTTTAGAATTTAATTATTCTCAATTAGAAACATTTTCATACAAAAAACCAACAAAGCAAAACCAAAATGCCTCCAACAAGATGGACGTGCACAGAAAAACTGACGTGAGAGGATTTCAACACTGCAACAAAATTACTATGCAAAATTCCCAAGAAATGTCAAAAGATGCTTGCCATGATTACAGAGTGTAGGAAGAGGGCAGGCAGGAATGAATGATCAGGAGCAAACGCAGCTGAGAAGCAGACGGGGATCTGTATTACAGATGCCTTTTATTCTGCACAATTTGGGAGGCAGAATGGTGGGACGAGGTCTCTTTTTCCCAGATTTTTATAGTTCTGGTTCAGAGAAAAGGTAAGACTACATAGTGAACCGAAACAAAACCAATACAACTGAAACCCCAACCCTCCCTGCCCAAGTACAGACAGCCCAGGAAGGTGAAAGAGCCCCTTTATCCTCTCACACAGCAAAGCCCAAGTTAAAACCACATTAAATAAAGCACTGAGGGTGCATTCATCTAAGGTAGTCATTGACCACTGCATGCATTATCTTATGCTGTCACTTTTTTCTATGAAGTTGGTATCATTTATAGAAAGGAAAAATATTTTTCCAAATCTGTCAATGAAGCCAAATGCCAACACAGCAGAAACACATTCTGGATAGCCAATGACTTTAAACTGATCTGCATTCAAGTCCACGCAGCAATTATTCTGCCAGCTTGCCTCAGCAATTATGAAAAAAGAAACAATTTTCAGAGATAACCAAAACTGGGAAATCTGGCTGTGCATGCTAGCTCCACTCCTTTATGTTTGACACAAAACCTTCACTTCTAAAATGCCCAAGGATTGAGGTGTACAAAGATGTATCACCAGAACAGCAGTGAAAGGACCAAGTGTTAGTTACAACTTTGTTCAAAGAGAAGCTCGGAGGAATTAGACACAGCAGGCATTCTTCTTCCCCTCAAGGTCTGAATACACACACAGCAAACATTAAGAAAAAAAAAAAAAAAAAAAAGCACTCTCAGCTCAGGCTTGGAGAAAGGCTGCTAGTTCAGAGCTATGGTGCACAGATGAAATACCATGATTCAAGTATAAAAGTGAATCTATACTAATTTACTCACTGAATTAACATGTTAAAGACATTTAAAATAATTTGATTTTATGTTTCTCCCACCCTCCCCTCAATTCTCACAAATAGATGACAATACTTAAAATGCAACAGTTGAAGCACTTCAATTAATATCAAGTCAGTATTTGATATCAGAATATTTCACAATCAGCAGTATCAAACCTTGGCAACAGTAAACTGCAAACTGATATTCAGAGCTGACATGGTTTGTAATCAAAAAAGAGATCAAATAACCTGCAACTCAAGTACAAAACCTTATCTATGTTAGGTAGCAATGAAAAGATAATGCTTTGTCTCTTTTTTTGAGTGCAAGTTTGAAAAGGTTTTCTCACTGAGCAGCTTGAAAATAAAAATGTGATGCCTGTCAAAGACAGATTTTAGGAGTTTCTCTAACCAATTTCATACAGTTAGCTCAGCATAAGAAGGGCACTCAGTGGTGGGAGATATTCAAACTGTTCTGTTCAAAGGAACACCCCTCAGAACAACCATCCAGAGTGTTCACATCACACCAACCTCACTCCAATTCGAGGTAAGGTCAGCCTTCTCCCTTGTTAATTCACTCCAAGATTGAGACTCCAGCACTGTTACTGCAGCAGACACACAAAACTGGCCACGTACCTTGGTGAACAATCCCTAGAGCAGCTCTGGCAAGGAATAATGTCTTCTGTAGGTGTTCATGAAGACCAGTGAACATTATACTCACACTGTCGATCCTGTTCAGCCCCACCACTGCCTTATTCAGGACTAAATAAAAGACTTCTCAATCTCTTTAGAAGAGACTCTCAGATCAGTCATCTCTGAGAAAGCATCACCCAAAGACCATTACTATTTGTGACCAACCTTTGATAAAAACAGGAGAGAGCTGTCAACACTAGAGAGTACTTTTCTGTTCTTCTCAAGCTCTTGCTACACTTTTCCTCCAACACAGAGAATTACTATGAGCTGCCACAGAGCAATCTGATGTGGGCAACCACCCCTATACCACATCAGCCTCTGATGCTAGATAAAACAAATTTTTTTCTTTAGCAGAACCCTCAAGCTTGTGTAAGGGTTGAATTTGATTCAGGCCCTTCTCCCAGAAGACTGTGCTGTACTTCCAGTGACACCTAGAATATTGTGGTCCACTCTCTCTGAAGAGTGAGCCCTCATGCTATTTCTGTACCTGGAACTACAAAGAGAACATCTTTAACACGCCTGTCTTTAAGAGATTCCAAGTGCAAGCTTCACATGAAGTTGAGTAAGTCTGCATGTGCAACCTTGCTACCTTTATTTACTTGATAAATCACGGTGAGATTAAACAGATGTAGGCAATATGCATTCATTATATCTACAACAGCCACAAGATCCAAACTTCTTTCTGCAGGAAAGGAGTTTGCCAAACCTGAAAATCCTTTAAAACAAGCAAAACAACAAGCCATATGCTTATCAGCAATTTTGATCTTGCAGGAAGAACAGATGCATCAAAGAGAAAAATGAAATATCAGCTCACAGTGCAGTTTACATAAATATTGCATTACATAATAAACACACACATATATACAGGTGCATTTTGAGTTTTACAATACAAGCAATTTCCAGTTTCAGACTTGAAAAAAAAAAGATGTCTTACCCAGAGCGACGCTTTCCTCCTCTGGAAGGCATGGATCCTGCCATCCTCACTTGTCCACTCGCCATCGGAGCCACTGGCAAGGCCACCGAGCCAGGAATATCTGATGCCATTTCTGTAAGGCAGAGGTAGGGGAAGAGGAGGGAGAAATCCCTTAATCCTTTACTTTCAAGGAGAAACCTCTGCTGATAACATTAGAGACAGGCCCTTCCCAAAACAAACAGAGAAAGCTTTCCTTTTAATTTCTCAGGAAAAGTAAAGCTCCCCTACTAAACCCAGCAGATTCACGGATCCTTTACAAAAAGCCCAGCTAGGTCAATAGACATTACAGTGCCTGGGAGACAGAGAGAATTGCAGGTAGGTATCTCTGTAATTCCACTGACCTAATGGCTCTCATTTTAAGTCTCAAAGGGGCTGTCAGATGAAGGCCAACAACCTTCTACAACAGTTAAAGTGCCCTGTACAGAAATGCAGAGCTGAATTCCCAAGTCAAATGGAGCTGCAGATCATGGTACCAGGGCACCAAGAAAAATAAAAGTTCAAAAACTCAGTTTGCCAGAGGCCAAGAGTTGAAAGCAGAGATGAATTATCAGGTGATACTGGTTTTTATTATTTATATTCTGGAGGCATTCAGAGGGCCAGACTGAACTTGGAAGAGCTCAAAGGCTTCCTGCATTTCTGTGTGGTGTCTTGCAGAGCACAAGTGAGCCCAAAATCCAGCCTGATATTCATCCCTCTGCCAGGGCTTGAGATATAGCCACAGGTTAATGAGATCCTCAAACCTCAAAACTTTGATGTGAAAAACTGCAAAACTCACCTTATGCAATGGTTTGCAGACTGCTAATGGCAAGTACTTCTAAAGTCTATTAATAACAGCTTGTTACACTTCAAAAAAGAAAAGTGGAATATAATATATTTATACTCTTTTTTCCTATCCATTATTAAGCATGGGATTAAGAATGTTTTTCTCTGTATAACTTTTATAAACTATATGAGCAATTAAAACTTTTTTTCTAATGCACATACACTTTATTCACTCTGGAGGCAAAATCTACAGTCAAAACATTTAATTATCTTGAAAGAAAATGCATCTTCCTTCCAACTTTAAAAAAAAAAACAACTTGGCAAGGTATCTGGAGCTACAGCTAAATATAATTACTAATGGAAAGCAAATCTGTTTAAAAAATCCTGCTATTTTTTCCCCAACAGATAAGTATGAAATAACTTCAATTATGGAAACAGGAATCCATGTTCTTTCATTATGTCTGGAGAGCACTTCCATCTCTGCCACACTTTATACACATCCATTATGCAACATTATGCATTTCAAATAATAACATTTTATCTGTTCACTGATTTCATGAATTTCTTCTAGTACATTTAGTTTTATTAACTCCTTTTCAACTAAAAAGCAACAGAGCAATCCAATATTTTTTAACAAAGTCTGCAAGGCCAAACAATGAGACCTCTGCCTATGTTCCCACACCACAGAAAGTTCCACAGTGACTAAAGCTGCAGCTGTGTGGAAGCACAATATTAATGCCCATTAGCATATCTCCAGACAAATAAAAGCATCAGCATGCAAACAACTGGTAAATCACTATTTCCAAAACAAGTACCCTTAACTGTCTAATGCCCATAATTCACTCAGAATATTCAAACACATCTCTCATGGATAGAACCGAAGGTCATTTTGAAATGCTCTGCTCATTCATTTATTAAAGCAGATGGTAAAAACCATAATAAATCTACCTGCAAAGTGTCCCCGTCACTCAGAAACACATTTCAGTACAGATCATCAAGGAGATCGGATTTTTTTAAAGTAGTAACTGTGATACAATTTCAGATTATCTCTGAGCAGTATTTGAAGAGTAAGAACAATACTGTATAGTGATGAGAAACTCTTGTAACCTCATTTTCCTCAATCTAAAGCAACGACGATGAAAAAACACACCAAGGGTTGGATTCATCTACTTTGAAAAGTCCAAAAGCCAAAACTAATTGTTCAAGGTAACTTTAGAGCTCACCAAAAAAAAAGGAGACAAAGCCCCCTTGCTCTCCTTTATGTATTCCATGCTTAGAGGTGCATCCAGAACAGGTTGAGCAAACCTCTTTCTGTAGAGCCTTTGCTCTCACCACTGACAAGGCAGGGAGATCTAGACAGATAATTTTGATCATTGGCCAATTTAGGTGGTTGTGGATATGCAGAATGAGTTGTCTTTCTGCACTTACATTTAGCCTTATGTGTATGAAAATATAAGAGGCAAGGGCAACTATCAAGATTCAAGTAGGAAGGACAAACAGAACTGTGTGTTTTTTATAAGGGGGGGGAATGGTAAAAGGAATGGCGAAACCAAAGGTTCAGTTATGTCAGTGTCCAAAAAACATGTGAAAATGAACATTTTACAACAAATAGATCATGTGTCTATCACAGTATAAGCTAAAGAATTACCGTGTAGATATCTTGATTTTACAGAATTGCACATCAAAGACAGTGCAATACAGAAAGTAATTTCTTAGACAAATCAACCTTCAGATACGTCTTCACAGTTTTGGGAGCGTGAAACCAAGCTCATTGTGCTGACTGCTCTAAAAGGAGGTCTTCAAAAATTTCCATTTCCAAGATAGGAGCACAAGAAGAAAAAAAAAAATTCTTCAGGGCACGCACTGACACTCAGCCACATGAAAGCTCAGCTAAGAGGGAGGAAAGGCTCAAGCCCTTCAAATCACAAGACTTTCCATTCTGCAGCAGTGTGGAGAAGCTGTGACAGACCTGCACATGTATCAGTGTGTAAAACACCCAATTTACCCTTCAATTTTAGAGCTTCCCACATCAGAGACATCAGCCATTGTGTGAGCCATTGCAGCTCTCGGGAGGTGCTCGAGGTGCACACACACTGCTGAGAAAAGCAAACACCTTTCCAGGATCCCTCTCCTGACACAACAGAATTAAGTGGCTTTGGAATCTTTCAAGCCACACAGCAAAGAAAGCAACTCCAAAGGCAAGAGCACCATGGAGCACAGAACAGCCTGAACACGACCCAGCCAGGGCAGCAGTGGAGCTCCTCACTCCATCCTGGGGTACCAGCAGTGACACCAGAGCACTACGGGAGGGCTGCAGGGACAGAGGTGACAAAGTGACCTCAGTGCTCAGCTGCAGCCAGCCGGGTGTCAGGAGCTCTACCCTACTTGGATGGCCACAAATCATGGCTATAAAAACTTAACTCACAAGAGCTGAAGGCTGCAAGAACAGCTGGATAGAAGAAGGAATGGATCTGAACTGCTTCCCAAATTACTTCCATCTCTACTCATTCATGAGAATATAAAAAAAAGCAGATCTTGATGATATTTTTGCATTTATAAAATATGCCTGGTGAGAAAAGTAAAAACGTTGACACGTTATCTCAAAAACAAGGGCCAACCTGGGAAGGCAGAGCCAAAAGCAAAATTTGATGAAAAAAATCAGCTGCTTCTCTGACTAAACTAAAGTTACCTATGTATGCTCTGAAAAGAAAACAAGAAAGAGAAGAAAAATGACACTCATGAAGTGGAATTTCAGATGGAAATACTGTGGTAGAGAAGCATTCCAAGCAGTCTATTAGCATAAACAAAACAGAAAAAAAAAAGGAGCATGCATCTGACACAGACCAAAGGAAAAAATACATAAGGAAGTCTTAAGAGTAGCTCACAATTCTGTATAGTTACATTAACTTAGGGCAGTCCCAGTTACTCTATTGGAGCATAAATTAGTATGGAAGCCAAGACCTGCAGTATCAAGTTGATTATAGATATATTTAAAAACCAAACCAAACCAAACCAAACCAAAATCCACAAACAAAGAGAAGAAGAAAAGAAAAAGAGAGAAAATATATGCTGGGTCAACAATCATAAAGATCATGTTTTCAGGCTTATCTAAACCCACATCTGGGTACATATTAACACTGATGTTCACAGAAGTGTTCCAGCAGCAAGAAGTGCTGGGAAACAACGTGTTCTTCTGAGACTGAATGTTCAAAGAGTGGACTTCCCTTCTGCCAAAGGAAATAAAACAAGTGTTGCTAACTCTACCCAAAATTAAAACACGAACATAAGGGTACAATTCTCAGGAAGTGAAACAAGGTCAAGCTGAACATTCATGAAAATCATCAGTAATTATCAAGGCAGCATTCTGAACAAATTTCTTTAAAATTTTTAAAAGGTGTGCCAAATAGAAATAATTTTTTTGCTGAAAAATTGCGTGTAGTATTTCATTTGGAGGTTAGAGAGTTCCTAAGAGATCTGCCAAAGAACACAGAAATGTTATTAGAACAAAACCCAGTACAACATACAATCTTTAGTGAACATTCCTCCAGTTGGACAACACTTAACAGCTCTTGTCTTATCACTGTCATGTCTGGGAGCAGGCCAGATCCTGCCACTGATATTTATGTTCATCTTGGGGATCCCTGAGGAGCCACATTAATCCAGGTACAAGGTAAAATCAGAATTAGTCCCTCCATTTCTGTCCAGACTTAATATCACAGCTGAACATTCAAAGTTTGGACATTATACTTTACTTCAATGCCACATTTAGGTCAATCCCAAAATATTCACAGATGTTTCTGAAATAAAAGATAATCTGCAAATGCACATTAAAATGGTGGTACAAAATACAGGGATTTATTCCCCTAAAAATCCACTTCCATGTCAAGCTGTTACATAGATCTGCAAAAGAAATAGCGGCTGTGCACTTCACAAATCAAAGCACAAAGAGCCAGCTAAATGCTGCACAAGGATACCATGAAAGTGCACGAGAACCCCAACCAGAGCAAGAATTACTGAAAAGTGCAGCATGCCAGGATGAACCTGGACTCCTTTTTTTTGCTAGGGAATTATTAAAACACAGCTCTCAAGCCCAAACTTTAAATCTTGAGCCCCACCCCAGATCCACTGCCTGAAATGCAGCTGTCTTGTCTCTGACACAAATTTGTGACTTGTTGAGGTATCCCCCAGAGCAGGGCAGCTCTGTGGCCAGGGATCCTCACAGGGAGCATCACACAGCTCTGGAGATGGTGGCCCCTGCTCTGCTCCCCTCCACAAACCACAGCCATGCATCCTGCTGGGAAACTGTGAAAT